TATTGGTGTCCAAAAGATAAATGGGCCTCCATGTCAACCAGGGGTCGCGCTAGAGTGAACGAAGAGTGAATCACCTGAAACATTCGATGGAGGCCCAATTCACGAGCGAATGAATCGTTCGTTAGAGGGCAGCCGCTTAGTTGACGTACCCCAGATATTAGCTTGAATCCTATTTGCCGCCCTTAGCGCCAGTTATAAGCATATCTACAAACTAGTGCACACCCTCCCCCTTCACCTTGGGCTCGACTCATTATTTCTTTCTTTGATTCTCGACAGCTCATGTATCACACGTGAATGGGCCACAGTCGCTTTTGTTTTCTCTCTATACGTTTCCAGTTGGTTACAAAACCTTCTGGAATCTTTTAGAAGCTTCCGACCTTTTTTTTTGTTTTGCATCTGGTTTTTCCATTTTCTTTTTCTGAAATTTCTTTTTTATTTTACCTTTTCTTTTCTTCCATTTTGTGATTTTTTTCAATTGTGTCAACTTTTATCAAGTTCACGAACTTTTTAAAATTGATGAACTTTTTTTGAAATCAGTGAAATTTTTTCAAATCCAACTAATATTTCTTGGTTGTGCGAATTTTTTCAAATTTGATTTTTCTAAAATCCATGCTTTTTTGGAACATTTTTTTAAAATGCATGATCTTGTTTTGATATCACTTTTTTTTAATGTGTGAACTATTTCCATATCCACAAACTTTTTTCAAATCCTGCAATTTTTTAAATCATGAACTTTTTCAAGTTTATGAACTTATTTCAAATCCCCGAAGATTTTCTGAACCCTTGATCATGGGCCGGCCTATGATCTATGGGCCGGCCTATAGAGCGGGGCGCGTAAGCGTTGGCTCCTCTGCCGGACGCGTTTTAAGTTTCGCGATTTAAAGGGTCTACTAGAGATGTTCTAAGGCTCTGGCGAGGAGCCATAAACTGAGCAGGCAGACTCGAAAGAGAACCCGATTCTGTTTCCGTTCGTGAAACGTGCGAGCCCGATTTCCGTTTCAAGTAAGTGTGGCAGATAGGAGTATATAGAGGTGATCGATTCGGATTCATCCGATGCGAACCTTGGTAAGTCGAGCCCGGAACCCATTTGGATTCTAACTCCGAATCGGCGGCAACGGGAACCTGACCGCCAGCAGTGCAATTGCCAACCTTGCTAAGTGGAGCCAGAACCGATTCTGGAGCCCGGAACCTATTCTGATTCTAAACTACGGATCAGCGGCAACGGACACCTGACCGATATATGTAGCACCAAGGTTTACGATTTAGAAGTGGCAACAATTTCGCTCCGTCCGGCCATCGTCGTTTCTTGGATCTATGCCAGTCGTCGTCGGGTCTTGTCATGGCCACGTCATGCCCAGTATCCTCGGCCTCTCGTCATCCTTCCGAACCGGAGCTCATCAAGTCGTACCTCCTCGGTCGGATCACGAAGGACTTGTCATGGGAATTCATCCACGACGCCGACGTCTACACCGCGGACCCGGCCAGCCTCACCGGCAAGTTTCTCGCGGCAAGCGACGACAGTGGTGAGAAAGTGTGGTACTTCTTCTCGCCGGTGAGGCCGAAGAACGTTCGAGGCCAGCGCAAGGCGCGGACGCTCGAATCCGGGGCGGGATGCTGGCACTCTGAGGCAGGCACGAAGGCCGTGGAGGACGGCGATGGTCACCGCGTGGGATACCGTCAGTTCTTCTCCTTCGTCTACAAGCACAACGGTCGACGGATCCGGACTGGGTGGTTGATGGTGGAACTCCGGCTCGACCGCCAACAGGGGGAGAAGAAGCCGTCGGACCTGGTCTTGTGCAAAATTTACTTGACACCGCGTGCGCCGTCTTCAAGTGCGCATGCCACGAGACGACCTGATGGTGAAGAGACTGGAGGTAAAAGGAAGAACGACTGCCAGAGCCCCGACGAGGCACCTCCAGTAAGACAGTGTCGTTCCCATAATCTGCCTGAAGCAACCTCTTCGAGCAATGTGGTGACCGCCGTGATGGACGATGACGTGCGTTCAGCACGAACGACGCAGCCAGCGAATTCAGCTCCAGCGTCGTCGATGATGCAGTCGCCGCGGGAGAGGTTATCCTATCCGCCGCTCGCAGCCGAAGGCGAGGCCGCGGCAGTTTTTCCTGCTGAGAGCAGCGCCAGTGCAACGCGCATCATGGCGCCACCTTATTTCGTACTTCCTTCCTCGGATTACAGCAGACAAGAAGTATATGTAGTTTGCAGAGGTGACTGCAGTTTAACTCATCAGATTATTAGAGGTGATTGCCGTGTAACCATTACAATTTGTAGGGGCGATTGCCACGTCGCCTGATTTGTACTACCTTGTAACTTTTTTAATTTTTTTTAGTTGTTGATTATTTTTGAGTCTAAGCGGTTACTACCTCGTAACCAGGACGGAGATGTTTCGCTTTCTGCCGTAGCTGCTACCTGAAGCTCCCCCTCTTTTGGGTTTTTGCTTCTCGGTTTTTGTCATACTCCCTCTGTTTCTAAATATAAGACCTTTTAAATATTTCAACAAGGACTACATATGGATGTATATAAACATATTTTAGAGTATAGATTTACTCATTTTGCTTCATATAGTCTGTATTTGAATCACTAAAAGGGCTTATATTTAGGAACAGAGGAAATACTAGACAGGTGTATGTGTTGTTGTATTGTCCATCTGTACCAAGAGAACTTGGGTGACCAAGAACTCCGTGATCCTGCATATCCAATGCGACATGGACATGACACAGAGTGAATTGCAAGAAACCACCACATTTGAGGCTTATCTTGCAGAAAACCACCTGGTCGCTAATCATTTGCAAAAATCACCGCGCATTCAGTAAAAGTGTTGCAAAAAGCACTGAACAGGTGATTTAGCCCGTTAAACCATTTTCTGACTAGTGGGACCGGACTGTAAGGAGCTGATTTGGCAACAAATTGACATATACCTCCCTGGATCTTATAAAAGAAAAGCAATCAAGCCCCCCCTCCCCCACGGAGGGCATCTCCTTCCTCTCGCCGTGTGTCTATGTTGTCCGAGTACAAGGACACCGTCGAGCGACGCTACTACACGCTCACCGGGGAGGTCCCCGAGGACGAGGTCATCGAGCGCATCATCTCTGAGGGCCGCGGCGAGGAGATCATGAGCGCCGCAGTCGCCGAGCACGGCAAGGGCGCCGTGCTCGCCGCGCTCAACGAGATCCAGGACCGCCACGACGCCGCCAGGGAGGTGGAGCGCAGCCTCCTCGAGCTCCACCAGGTGTTCCTCGACATGGCCGTCATCGTGGAGGCGCAGGGGGAGAAGATCAACGACATCGCGCACCACGTGAGCAACGCCAGGGACTACGTCCACTCCGGCAACAAGGAGCTCGGCAAGGCCCGCGAGCACCAGCGCGGCAGCCGCAAGTGCCTCTGCATCGGCATCATCCTGCTGCTGCTCCTCATCCTCATCGTCATCGTCCCCATCGCCACCAGCCTTAGGAGGTCATGAGCAACCACACCACACCGGAGTTTGCCCCGATGATCATCTGGACACCTGCATTTGTGTCTATGTTATTTCGATTTCGTATTCTGCTGCTTCATTCATTGATTTCCGCTCCCCCCAAATGTCTCCTTGTCGTCAGGATTTCCGCTGAGGATCGGCAGCGCGGCGGCGGGATCCGGCCAGGAAGGGCCTGCAGGCAGCGGATCCGGCGGAACTGGAGGCGGCGCGACGAACTGAGAGGGGGCGACGGCCTCGGCTCCTGCAGCAAAACAACGGCGAGGCGGGGAAGTCAGCAGCGGCGCGACACAGCCTCGCGTCCGTGCACCAGCCGCCGTCGGGGCTCGCGGGGTTCGGCCGCGGCGCGCCGTCCGTGCCCGCGTAGCTCGGGGTCACCAAGTTCTCCTACTGCCTCCTCTCCCGCCGCTTCGACGACGATGACGCCGTCAGCGGCGAGCTCGTCCTCGACGCCTCCTCTGCCGGCAAGATGCAGTACGAGCTGCGCCTCTCCCCGCGGGGGGCCGCCAGCCGCAACTTGCCGTGGGATGCAGCCTCGAGTCCGTGCACCAGCCGCCGTCAGTGCACCAGCCACGTGTCCATGGACCTCCCCGAGCTGTCCCTCCGCTTCAGCGGCGGCGCCGAGATGCGGCTCCCGATCGAGAACTACTTCATGGCGGTGGGCATGGTCCAGGGGGCTGATTGATTTTTTTAAAATCTACTAGGGGTCTGTGTGTGATTATTTTGGGCCCCACCTGTCGGAAACGCCCTCAACCGCGCCAAATTACATGTTGAGTGCAATCTGCAACACTTTTACTGAATGCGCGGTGATTTTTGCAAATGATTAGCGATCAGGTGGTTTTCTGCAAGATAAGCTCCAAATGTGGTGGTTTCTTGCAATTCACTCCATGACACATGGTAGCTAGACCCAGCTCCAACTGGATAAAGGATTTGCAAACTGCAACTGAGAAACATGAGTTATTACTATTAGGCATAAGCCCGAACATTACAACTGAGTTCAAATCTGAAAGCCATAAGCATCCTGAAAGAGAGATTTCCCTTGAATGTGCCTTCGAATTTGCTATTTCAAATGTAGATAGGAGGAACATCTTCACTCCGACTTAGACCAACTGATTCGAAAAGAACCACAAGTTTCCTGTTGATCCAGCCAAACCACAAGACAGTGTTGGAAATTTTGTTCACATTACCTGAAAATAGAATATGTTGTGTTCAGGACCAGATGGGAAGTGGAAGCACCATCCATTAACAAAAATTTCAACCTCTCTCCGGTAAACCAAAAAACAATGGGTTGCTATTACTTTTAAATAGTGAAGAGTTCATCAAGGGTGTAGGGACACCCGGGAGCTATCACACTTTTCTCAAGTCCTCCTGCGATGCTGCCTATCTTGTCGACGACCTCCAGAACGTGGTCGACTACCCAAGTCTTGTTGTTGCCACGCACGGCAAGGCCCACACCTGTCAGTCCAAGCTGCTCCCGGCTCTTTGGAAGCGGTTGATTGGAGTGCACGGGCTGCTCTTTTCCAATCCATCCAGGATCATGAGATAAATCTTCTGAACAAAGAAACCCGCAGGCTTGGCGTGCTGCTGGACAAGGGCGACCGCCCCCGCTGCCTGATTCGGGAACGTGGACGGTGGTATTTGGGCACGATAAGGAGCTGGATGACATTGTGCACATGCTCGTCCAGCCGTGTAGCAAGGCTGCTTCAGCTGCAACTGAGATGATGGTCTGCATTTCTGGCGCCGGGGGTATTGGGAAGATAACATTTGCTCAGATGGCATTCAACGATGCAAGAGTCGAGCGGCATTTTGATGTCATATGTTGGGTTTCTGTTTCAACTAGTTCCAACCAAATGGAGCTCGCGACGGAGATCTCAAGGTCTGCCCAACCATCTTGGGATGGCTCTGTAGACAAGATGGGGGATTTCAAATGCTCAGATGTGAGCTATGCCAGTTTAAGCACTTGCTAATCTTACAACCTGATCACATTCGGAGGCGTAGCTTGGCAATATGCCAGTTACGTTTGGAATGTTGTTATCCCTCTCAAGCACAAAGTATACTACTTTATTTAATGCAACATTTGTCATCACTATAGGTCGTTTGCATGCTTGATCAAGCAATGCAACATTTTGTCATCACTATAGGTCGTTTGCATTACGCCCTATGGCGACTCCTATGGCGATGCCCGTAAGCGCGCGTGCCCTTGGCGATCGCCGGCGGGTTGGTGGGCGCTTCTGGGCGCTGGGCAGAGGAAGACAGTGGGGAGGAAGACGAAGACGGTGGGAGCTCCGGTGGATCGCCGGCGTACTCGCCTACTCCTTCGGATGTGATTTGCCAGGCATTCGCCCCCGGGTACGACGAGACGGAGGTGGCGGAGATAGTTGAGGCGGTCGTCCCTCTAGAGGATCCGGCGAGGGTCGGGCTACGCGCCGGGGAGAAGCTGCAGTTGCTCCGGCGGATCGTGCATCGGAGGACGGCGGCGAATGCTTCTCGGCCGTGGAAAGGCCCCATTCCCAAGGTTAGTCTCCCAAAACTTACAGTTTTCGATCTGGTGAGACCGGAGGCTTGGACTTTGGTTGTCGGAAGGAAGAAAGGACGTCGTGCGGCGGACGGCCGGAGGCAGGCGGCGCCGGCGGCGTCGGTCGGGATCGCAGCTGCTAGGGCGGCTCGTTTGAATTCTCTGTTGGGCGCGGATGGGCCGCCCGTGGCTCCTGGGCCGTCTTCGGCTGGGTATGAGGCCCAGAGCGAAGCGGCTGCAGTTGGGCTGAGGCCGGTTGAGCCGGTTTGTGTTTCGGGCGCTTGTAGCAGCGGGCCGGGAACCGATGGGTATGTGGCCCAGTCTGGTTCAGCCTCGCTAGCGTACATGGGAGACATCGCATGCACGTTCGGTTCGTCATCGCCGTCGCCTGCGCCGTGCCCTAGGGCTTTTGTTCGACGAACGCCGCGTCTTCGTTCGGCGGGGATTGGCTGTGCTCGCCGCATCTTGCCGCTAAGTGCCGTGGAGGAGCTCCATCGCCCGGGAAGAGGCCGGCTGCGCCGGGTGGGGTAGGCTGTGCTGGAGGGGCGCCACCGCCAGGCCTGGGCAGCGGCAGGGGTCTTGCGCCACCGCCGGCAGTTGGTGCTGGGCGTGGAGGCGTGAATACGGCAGGCCGAGGAGCTGGAGTCTCTGGTGGGGCGCCTAATGCTGCGGCGGGTCGTGGCGCTAGCGGTATGCCCGCTGCTCGGCCGCCGCCGGCATCTCCGGTGGTCGTGCCTTCGGCCGGACATGGAGGGCCGGTCCTCGGTCCTCGCCCGATGGCACCCGGTGTAGCCGGGGGGGGGGGGGCTGCTGCGGGCTGCGGTGCAGCGCCTCCTAGGCCTCCCGTGCCGGGGAGTCAGGCACCGACGACAGGCTTGCAACCTCGGCCGGCTCCACCTCCGCACTTCGTTGCTCGGCTGCCTCAGAATCGGGCTGCGCCGATGTTGTCGCAGGCGCCGCCGCCGCAGAGCAATGCCGTTGGTCGAGCTTCAGCTACGCCCAAGGGTCAATGGGGGGATGACGGTTATAATGCCTATGGAGCTGGTCAGCACCGGGGTTCTTCGTCCATAGGTGGAGGTCCTGGATATGCTTGGTAGAGCGACGGATCAATGGAGAGGCCGTTTTTGGGTCCTACCGGTGGTTTTGTCGAGGGGGCATCTGGCCCGGGTCATTGGCAGCGGGGTGGTTTCCGCAGTCATCGTGGCGGTCATCGCGGTCGAGGTGGTCGGTACCGCCCACGACAACCACCGCCGACCGTGGTTGTCGAGCAGACGACTGCTGGCGGGATTACCGAGGAGCCGGTGTTGACCGGTCAGGCTATGAAGGTTGTGATGGCTCTCGCTAATGTTCAGGTTCCAGAGAATGATACTATGGGTGATGTGTCCGTGGATGTGCCGGACAGGGCTGATGCTGATAGGGCATCCAAGTGGGCGCGCAAGAAAGAGAAAATGATTTGCTATCGTTGTGGCGACAAGGGTCATTTTATTGCTGAGTGCATGGCTGTGTTATGTGACACTTGTGGTAAGCCAGCACACGAGTCGGGGGAATGCCCTCTTCTGCGAGATCAGGCACCATCTCTCATGATGTATGGAGTGTATTGTGATGAACTCACGTTCTTTGAATCTCCTAATGAGAGGGAGGTTCCTGATGAGACCCAGAGCATGACTACTGGGATTGTCAAGGTGACCATAGGAGAGGTCTCCGAGACACAAGTTGTGCAGAGGCTCCGGGAGTTGGCCCCTGGGGACTTTCAGTGGGAGCTTTTCAGGCTCGCAGATAAGATGTTTCGGGTTGAGTTTCCTTCGGTGGAGGATCTGCAGAGGTTTCTGAGTTTTGGGATGTGCAAAGTGCCGGGCACAGATTGCATCCTTGAGTTCCATGAGTGGAAGCAGGTGGAGCCTTAGGGCAAGCCACTGACTCAGGCATGGTTGCGTTTTTCCGGAGCCCCTTCCAAGCCGATGCAGGATGCTAGGGTCGTGGCTAGCTTGGGAATCATGATGGGGAATCCTGAGCGAGTGGATATGGCTTTCACCAAAGCTCACGGGATTGCTCGTATACTGGTTAGTATTTTGGATATTGAGTATGTGCCTGAGGTTGTCAAATGGACTTACCGTGGTAAGGTTTTTGACCTTCTGATTAAGTTTGAGGACGAGACCCTATTGGCCGAGGGGGCTAACGGGACTGACGTGGATATGCACGAGGGTGATGACAGCGCGGGAGCGAAGGAGTCTACGGTCGATGATGCGGGACGACAGTTGTCCAAGGGTACGGGGTCCGGGTCTACGATGATCGAGGATGGGGCGGTTCCACCATCCTCGGTGCCTACGACGACTCTGAGATTTGGGACTTTTGAGCTTGCTTCTGCACCACCGAGGTTGTGGAGTGATCGAGTGGATTCGGATGAGGCTATTGAGCTCGCGTTACCTGCTTTGGTTTTTGAGGATGCCGTGAGTCCCATACCTCGGGCTTCATCGGT